GGCAGCTGCCTAAAATCTTTCTGGAACAAGGTGAAGATAGAAATAAAGTTTAATCTTTTCAGTGAATTAAGAGCTATATTAAAATATACTAGAGGGTAACATGTTTAATCCTTTTAAATGCCTGAAGATTGATCTCTGGAGCTATCATTTATTTGCTTATTTGTTCTCAATCTGCTAAAACATGTGTTCCTATATGCATTCTAAAGTATTTAGAGGTGAAGTTTGAGATGTCTGTAATTTTCCAGTGTTCAGGGGAACAATATGTATATGTGTATGTGTATATATATGTGTAAGTATATGTATATGTATGTGTATATGCATGTGTATACACATATGTGTATATATGTATACATATGTGTATACGTGTGTATATATGTACACATGTATGTATATATGTGTGTATATTATATGTGTATATATGTGTGTGCATGTGTGTATATGTATATATGTGTATATATGTATATATGTGTGTATGTATATATGTGTGTGTATGTATATATGTATATATATGTGTATGTATATACATGCTTATATATGTATATATACACACATATATGTGTGTGTATATATAGGGAAGGAGACAGAGAGAGAATGAGAATAAAGCAAAATGTTAATAATTGGTGAGTCTCGTGAAATACATACTGGTGTTATTCCATCCTCACTTTTTTAGTCTGTTGGGATTTTCAAAATTAAATTAAAAGGTGAAGCAAACAGCTACATACTCTTAGGCTATGTGTACCATCCATGAGCAGGAGGCTGACACCAGGGATCAAAGGCGGTAAGCGGGGTGCTAGGCTCAGTGCGGGGCCGCCAGCTCTTTCCACCATACTGTGTTCTTTCTCCTTCCTTGAACTCTCCACAAATTGTTGGTCATTTTCTTATTTCTGGCCCTGCTTTCCATCTTATTCTTCGGTTTTCGTACACTGGGTGTAGTGAAACATAGTTGTGTGGAAAAAAAAATTGTCATTCAAATTCTTGGAATCAGTTGCCTTTAAAATTTCTTTCTTCCAGTAAGAAGGTCAACTCGGATTCAAGAAATGTCAAATTGTCTGTAATTTAAAGACACGTTGAAAGAAAGTAGGGCAGGAGAGGAATGTTTTGCTGCACACCTCTGCAGAACAAATTCTTTTTCCTTTAGGCCTGCCAAAGAATTACTATTTCCCACGCTAGGGCAATTTTGGTTCCAGCCTTTTCCTGAGGTTTTGATTATTAAAAATGATCACTACTGCATGTTTGTGGTTTAGTTGTCTGAAGCCACTTCCTGAAGAGGTCACAGTAAAGCAGTTGTTTTTTGGCAAAGTCTTCAGAGGGAAACCAAGGCAATTAATTCCTTTGGCTGAGGGGGCCCTGGAAGGGGGGTGGGTGGGTGAGAGGGGATGGGGAGTACAACATTTTAGGGTTTCATGCCACTGGAACAGGGTCCTTGTTGAAATATCTCTACTTCTCACCCTGACCAGACATGCGATTTTGAGAAGAAGGTTAATGTCCAAATCGCTTTCAACATGTGAAAAAGAAAGTGAAAGGACTAGATTTCCCTAAGACCCTTCCAGCTCTGTAGCTCTGTGAAGCCTCAGCTGATAACTCCCCCTGGATGGACACAGTCTGACTCTTTGGTGTCAAAGTAATTTTAAACGTGGTTACAAACCACATAACTCAAGGCTAAGCCTGCACCTGTGTCCTGGGAGGTGCTCTCATCCAAAGGGAGGCTGCTTAGCTCCTCCTGCCTTTGAGTTGAATTACTTCTATTTTTTTTAAGTTTATTTATTTATTTTGAGAGGGTGCGTGAGTGCACAAATGGGGAAGGGGCAGAGAGAGGGAGAAAGAGAATCCCAAGCAGGCTCCATGCTCAGAACGGAGCCCACTATGGGGCTCGATCTCACATACTGTGAGATTGTGACCTGAGCTAAAATCAAAAGCTGGACACTTAACCCACTGAGCCCCAGGAACCCCATAAAATAAGTTTTTTCTTTTAAGTAAATTCTACACCTAGCGTGGGGCTTGAACTCATAACTCTTAAGAGCAAGAGTTTTTGCTTTACTGACTGAGCCAGCCAGGAAGCTGAGTCAAAGTGACTTCTTAAAGAGTCAGTCAGCAGAAACTGTTTTGAAACAGTTGAGTATCAGAAAGAGGACCAGTGAGAACACAACAACTGACCTGTCAGGGCTCCTTCCCCCGGTGTTATTTTTATAAAGTTTGAAAAGTTTGCATATTGAGATTCAGTTTGCCTATGTATGGCAGGAAGCCCAAACATATTAAAAAAAAAAGGTAGTCTAGGGTGGGAGCCCCATGAAACCACTGAAGGACTCATGTTCCTGTCTTATCCCAGCACTGTCTGCAAGTGGTCTGCACCTTGTGACCCAATATGGTGGCTGTAATCCACCCACCATATCCATACTGAGCTAGCAGGAAGGAAGACCAGTGGAGACTTTTAAGTCTTTTGAGGAGGCTTTTAAGTCGACTTCCCAGGAGGAGCATACATTTCCACCTACATTCATTGACCCAAATTCTGTCACTAGGCCACTCCTAATTGCAAGGGAGGATGGGAAATATAGACTTTGTGTGGGATAGTAATGTGTTACACTAAGAGTCAGGGGTTCTATAATTGTCAAAGCAGGGAGGACAGATCTTAGAGGAGGGAACTAGCAGCATCTGTCATAAATACTATATTTTTGAAGAGTAAGGGCTTTGGAATCAGTAGTCTTGGGTTTAAACTTCAATTCCTGCTTACTAGTTGTGAGATATTGGTCAAGCTATATAACCTCCTTAATCTCTTGTATTATATGATCTGTCAAATTGGCATCATGAGATTCACATCATGGGGGTAAAATGGCAAAACTTATTTTCTCAGTGTTTAGCTCAGTAGCTCACTATTATATCAGTCCCCGTGTCACCATCTTTGACTTCATCCACTTATTTGGATATGTGGTATTGGTTATACATGTGTATTTGACTCCGTCTTTTTTCAAAGCCTCTCTAGAGAACCAGTGAATCTGGCTGGGACCAGTACAGTTGGGGATGCGAGAAGCTAATGTGTGTGCAAAGAGGGTAAAGCAACTTGGTCAACGTTGTTGTGACTCTTATGCTAATCAAGTTGCCTGGTTAACCTGAGGCTGGGGTTAGTGGTTAAAGTCATGGGAAATATTTGTGTTTCAGAAACAGGTGAAGGATAGGACCACGCAGAAGCAGGAAGAGCTTAGGGGAAACAGCCCTAGGGTAGACACACAGCTAAGGGGAAGATCTCAGGTCATTTCACTGCCCATTCCAATTCCTCATCACTCAAGGGGGAGTTCAGACTGCAACTCTGAACCCGTGCCTTCGGATGAGGGAGGGTTACTAGCATGCAAGTGTACTTCCTCAGTTTGCCAATCCTGCCCTGGCCACTTAAGGTCCATCTGGGTTTACTGTGAGACATTCAGAATGGTACCTGTTCCAGGGACAGGGAACAAGTTAAACTTTAAGGAAATGGGGAAGGGGTGGTGATAGGGAATTTTTTTTTTTTTTTTTTCCTGGATTCACTCATCACTCCCAATTTCCTGCTAGGCTTTTGAGCACAAATAATCTCCGGTACTCTCTGGGACTGGGTATTTTATAGGCCTTGAGGGCTGTGAATTAGACCATGCCTCGGTTCTTAAGACTGTCCCCACCCAGGGGAGCCAACAAGACACGGTTGTGGCAGACGTCATCATTGCTCCCAGGTATTTCCATTTCCAGTGTAACTTGAGGCTCCTCCCACTAGAGGTGGAAGTAATCTCCCCGCCCCAGTGATGGCAGATTTGGCCACATGACTTGCTTTGGCCAATGGAATGTGGGCAGACCAGCAGTAAGCTAGTTCTGAGCAAGGCTTTGAGTGCTCTTGCCACATTGCGTCCTTTTTTTTGCCATCACAGAAGATCATCTCCCAGGAGGTTGTAGGTCCAAGGAAGATGAGAGACACATGGAGAAGACTTAAATCCCACCGGAAGCATGGAGTCAAGCCTAACAGCCCGATCTAGGTCAGCCAACCCCTATCTGATTCATGGACTGTGAGATAGAATCGCTTTACACCATTGGCGTGATCGCCATGGCGCTTGTTTTATGCATTTCAGTCTTGAGATGGATTGTTGGTAGTATGGTTGTGACAATGGTTGCCTAATACAACAGACCTTTACGTTACGGTGTGAAAGGAACTGCAGGGAAATATGGAGACATCTGGTGCTCCAGTCTTGGGGAAGTATGTGGGGAGGAGTACTTTATGAACTTGTGTAAGCTATTCACTCTTTGTAACTTATTTTGCTTTTCCTCCTGGGATGCTCTAGACCAGAGAGTTAGCGGTACATAGCATCCATCAGGTACGCCTGAATTGTATGTAAAATTAGAGCTAATCCATAGAGACAGAAGGAAGAGTTCTCCAACAAGTAAAATATAAAGACCTTTTGGCTTCTAGTGATTAAGCCACTCATTCATTCAACAAGTAGAACTTAAGGACATAGTTGTAAATAGGATCTTTGAGTACATGAGCTTGCATTCTATAGGGAGGGAACGTGGTTGATGATGAATGCCACAGACAGCAATGGAGCAGGAAAGGAAAATGTGCAGCATTCGCAGAAGGGTGGTGCAGCTTTACACGGGAAGGTCAGGGAAGACCTCACTAAAATGATTTTGAGTAAAGACCTGAAGGTTGGAGAGAGCCTAGGCAGTGGCCACAACCAAGGAAAGAGCATCTCGGTTTGTAGCAGGGAGCACTAAGGCACACTTCAGGAGAGAGAAACACTTAAGATATGGAACACCTCTTCCAAGGCACCTTGTTAGTGCTCTGGGGAGTTGATGTTAGGTATGCTCAGTGAATATAGCCGTTGAGGAGAAAATCCAAAACTTTTGTGTTTTCTTGGTTATAAAGTCTGGGCAAAAAGATTTCCATCTTCAGGTGAAGCCTCCAGAGCCTCCTGTTGGGACCATCGTCAAGGTGTTCTCTCTCTGGGTGTGTGTGTGGCTCCTGGTGACCCCTCTGTCTCCTCCTACAGATTAGGGGGTGCTGAACCTGAGATCACCTCCCGTGTCCTTCAGAAGTTGCTGGAAACAATGCTCGTCTTGTACGTGTTGATAATCGGTGTTTATTCCTTCACCGATCAGCCTGAGGAACACACAGGTGAGAAATGAATCTTTCAGCTGGAAAGGGCTTGCCTGAAGCTTCTCTGGGGGAAAGCAGTTGTTTATCTAGTGAAGTCTATTGTTTTCAAAAGGCAAGTTGTGACAGATGCTTCCTCCTGCCCATCTCCTCTGTTGCACTGTGCTTGCTCTGGGCATAGGTCATTCCTGCCAAAGAGCGAGCCAAGAAGGTGGTGTATTTGCCCTCAGGAAAATGTGCCTTTGGATTTTAACCACATGTCCTGTCACAACTAAGCTCTTTTTGTATCTGAACTCAGCCAAAATCCACTTTTATTTTTTAATTTTATTTATTTTTAATTTTTTAATGTTTATTTATTTTTGAGAGACAGAGAGAGACAGAGCATGAGCAGGGAAGGGGCAGAGAGAGAGACACACACAGAATCTGAAGCAGGCTCCAGGCTCTGAGCTGTCAGCACAGAGCCCGACACGGGGCTTGAACCCACAAACTGTGAGATCATGACCTGAGCCAAAGTTGGATGCTTAACCAACTGAGCCACCCAGGCTCCCCCCAAATCTACTTTTAATGATAAGGAGTCAACAAGTGAAAAATATGACCCAACTTTTTAATCATTTTTTCATCTCCATGTGAACCAGATTGAATTTTCCCCACAAAATGTAAATTGGAATTGACAGTAACCCAAAAGTTGTTTTTGGGAGTTTTGAAGTCATTATAACAGGAGGGTTTAATGGGGCCTCCGGGGTGCAGGCCACTTGTTAGGGGCACGCGGCTTCTTCAGAGCTGCCCATCCAAGGAGGTTTGGGATCCAAAGCCTGACTATGATCTCTCTGTCCTTCAGTGGCTGCAGGAAACTGCCAGTTTCTTGGCAAGCATTTCAAAACTGACTTCAAAGTGGAAGGGGAGCCTGTGGTCCTGAAGTGCCCCCAGGTGCAGTATTGGTTGTGGGAGTCTGTCAGCCCCCACGTCAACGTGACATGGCATAAAAATGATTCTGCTAGAACGATTCCAGGGGAAGAAGAGACACGAATGTGGGTCCAGGATGGTGCTCTCTGGATCTTGCCAGCCTTGCAAGAGGACTCTGGCACCTACCTCTGCACTGTCAGGTGAGGCCCCCCAGGACTAGGGTACGGAGTGGAGCTCCTTCCAGAATGGACTTTTGCATGGTTCTTCGGTGTTGACCTGGATTTCAAAATGAGAATCTGCCTTTTGTCCTCTTCACTGTTCCTGAAATACCTCTACCCGAGAGCTTTCCCCAGATACCCTCATGGCTCTTTCTCTCCATTTAAGTCTTTGCTCAAATGTCACCTCTTTAGAGAGGGCTCCCCCAGCCACTTTACCTAAAACACCATTCCTGACACTCTCTCTTTTTACCCTGCTGGTAGTTTTCCTACCTGACACACGTGTTTTCACATATTTAATGTTTGCCTACCCTGTAAGAATGTAAACCCCAGGAGGACTGGGACTTGGGCCGTTTTGTTCATGCCTGCATCCGCATGGACAAAAGAAATTGATATAGAAACTGGATGGGACTGTAGGAATGAATTAATCCAATTGCTTATTGTACGTGTGAGGGGACCAAGCTCGCTTATGAAGTGCTCCTAGGTGGTGGGTGTGGAGCTGAAACTGGAACCCAAATCTCCTGATGTGGGGTCTACCCCCCTCCCTCTTTGTCCTGTTGCTTTTTTTTAAAGTTGTGGTAACATATGCATAGCATAAAAGTTATCATCTTATCCCTTTTTGAGGGTACACTTCCGTGCGTTAAGCACATTCACATTGTTATGCGACCATCAGCATCCTTCATCTCCAGAATTCTTCATCGTCCTACACTGAAACTCTGAGCCCATTAAACACGAATTCCTCATTCTTCCCTCCAGCTCCTGGCAACCCCCGTCTTACTTTTTGTCTCTATGAGTTTGATTGCTCTAAATACCTCATATGAGTGGAGTCCTACAGTGTTTGTCCTTTTGTGACTGGCTTATCTCACTCAGCACAGTGTCTTCAAGGTTCATCCATACTGCAGTGTGTATTAGACTTTCATTCCTTTTCAACATTATTCAATGGAATAATATTCCATTGCATAAATATACCATATTTTGGTAATTATGGTGCTTCTGCCTTTAGGCTGTTGTGAGTGATGCTGGTCTGAACATAGGTGTACAAAGATCTGTTGGAGTGGGGTGTCTGGGTGGCTCAGTCGGTTAAGCATCCGACTTCGGCTCAGGTCATGATCTCATAGTCTTCGAGCGCCATGTCGGGCTCTGTGCTGACAGCTCAGAGCCTGGAGCCTGCTTTGGATTCTGTGTCTCCCTTTCTCTCTGCCCCTCCCCTGCTCATGCTCTCTCTGTCTCAAAAAAAAAAAAAAAAAAAAAAAATCTGTTGGAGTCCCTGCTTTGAATTCTTTTGGGTATATACCCAGGAGAGAATTGGTGGATCATATGGTAATTCTATGTTTAATAATTTTTTGAGAAACCATCACATTGTTTGCCACAGTGCCTCCTCCATTTTACATTCCCACCAGCAATGTACACAGCTTCCAGTTTCTCCTCATCTTCACTAGCACTTATTATTTTCTGGGGTTTGTTTGTTTGTTTGTTTGTTTTGGAGAGGAATAATAGCCATCCTACTGGGTGTGAAGTGTTATATTATTGGGCTTTCGATTTGCATTTCCCTAATGATTAGTTATGCTAAGCATATACCCATGTCCTTTATTGGCCAAATGTCTGTTCAAGTCCTTTGCCTAGTTTTAATTTTCAAAGTTTTTTGTTGTCTTATTTTTAATTTCCTTTAAAAATGGAAAAATAATTAAAATGCAGTGTTATATTAGTTTCAGGTGTAGAGTATTCAGCAGTTCTGTACATTTCTCAGTGCTCAGCACTATAAGTGTACTTTTAATCACCTTCACCTATTTCATCCATTCCCCCACCTACCTCCCCTCTGACAATCACCAGTTTGTTCTCTGTGTTTAAGAGTCTTGTTTGTTTCTTTTGTTGTTGTTGTTCATTTGTTTCTTAAATTCCACTTATGAGTGAAATTATATGGTATCTATCTTCCTCTGTCTGATTTATCTCACTTAGCATCATGCCATCCAGATCCATCTATGTTGTTGCAAATGGCAAGATTACATTCTTTTTTTGTGGCTGAGTCATAGTCCAGTGTGTCAATGAATCATCCTGTCAATGAATCCTGCCTAGGAAATAGACAATCTCTTACTTCCATAGCAGGGAAATGTGGATGCTTGATTTTACAATAGCTATCAATGCATGGTTTTTCTTTCCTTTTAGTGTAAAAGAATTCTAATGTTTTCCTAAGGAGCACTACTAGGAAAACTTAACAGTGCAAGAAAAAGAACGGAATTGGGTTAGAATAGTATGGGTGTGAATCCTAGCTTTCTCATTTTCTAGCTGGTAGGATGTTGGTCTTATTACTTGGCATTTATGGGTTTCAGTTTTCTCCTCTGTAAAGAGAGTTGTTGGGAGAGTTCTATGAAATCACAGCATGTGAAGCACCTAGTTATAGGGAGCACCGTAGAAGACGGTCAATATATACACGAAAGTGCCTTTTCTTTCCTGAAGGCAATGCTTATTGACTCTTGTAGTGATACTATGCAAAAATCAGGGAGATGTCAGCTGAGTGATGTTTGTCTTTCAAAGTTTGTTTTTATGGTTGTTTTAAAAAATTATACCTCATACTCATTTTATTTTCTATTCTTGTAGAAAAAAAGATCTGAGGGGCGCCTGGGTGGCTCAGTCGGTTGAGCGTCCGACTTCACCTCAGGTCACGATCTCACGGTCCATGAGTTCGAGCCCCGCGTCGGGCTCTGGGCTGATGGCTCAGAACCTGGAGCCTGCTTCTGATTCTGTGTCTCCCTCTCTCTCTCTGCCCCTCCCCTGTTCATGCTCTGTCTCTCTCTGTCTCAAAAATAAATAAACGTTAAAAAAAAAATTAAAAAAAGAAAAAAGATCTGAGATTGAGAGGGGTGGTAGAAATTTCAGTGTGGGTCAAAGTTTCGTAGCATGTGAGAGAGTCTACCTGGCTGATGTCTAGAACTCTCTTCCAGCTCTAAGATTGGGCTCCCAATGGATTGAGAATCACCGGCAGTTGCCATAATACCCTTTGGATTTATAGTCACAGGTCATGAAACAGCCCTGTTCCTGTGATTTTTATAATCTTCTGATCCAGAACCCACAAGACCTTTCTGTCAACCAGGATGGGCAAGTCAGTGGCTTAAAACCACAAATGCTTATTTATCACACATGTAACAAGCCAACAAACCCATGTTGGGTTCAGAGACAATTGAGAACCCAGACTGAGGGGGCAGTCACTATCTCAAATGTTGGCTGCCATACCAGAAGGAGATTGCTATTAAAACTTTGGTGCAAGGACACCTGGGTGGCTCGGTTGGCGTCCAACTTTGACTCAGGTCATGATCTCGTGGTTTATGAGTTCGAGCCCCACATTGGGCAGCTCAGAGCCTGGAGCCTGCTTTGGATTCTGTGTCTCAAACTCTTTCTCTGCCCCTTCCTAACTTGTGCTCTGTCCTGTCTCTCTCAAAAATAAATAAACATAAAAAAAAAAAAACTTTGGTGTAGAAGTGACACACGTATATCTCATTGACTAGAAAGAGTCACATAACTGCACCCACCCACAGTGGGGCCATGACATGTTAATTCCACTGTATGCTCAGGATGGGGGAATTGGACACATTTGGTGAACAACACTAATGACCACCACCCCTTTGCTGTGGGGATGTAACACCACGTGGAGAATGTGAGTGTTGATCAAATCATTCCACACCCATCTTTCTTTTGCGTCATTTTCACGGAGTGTCTTGCCCAAGGGGAATTACCAGATCAAAAATGTGAACAGATTTGTAACTCTCAATATGCATAGTAAGTTTGGTTTCCACAGATCCTGCCCTAATTTATGGGTTTTCCCAAAGCCTTACCAGGCTTCTAACCTTGGTTTGACCTCTTAGTTGTTGTACAGCCTTAGGAAATTACTTAATTTCTGTATACCTAATTTTCCTCATCTAAAAATGATATAATAATAATTTCTGCCTCATAGGGTTGGAGAATAGATAATATATAGAGAGCACCCAACACAGGGCCTGGCATGTATCTCCTCCAGGTGCTGGGATGACTCTTTTCAGGTGTACACTCTTCTTTAGACTTGTCCTCGTTTACATTTCTTTTTTCTTATTCAAAAAAAAATTTTTAATGTTTATTTATTTTTGAGAGAGAGAGAACGTGGGAGCAGGGGAGGAGCAGAGAGAGAGGGAGACACAGAATCTGAAGCAGGCTCCAGGCTTTGAGCTGTCAGCACAGAGCCCGACGCAGGGCTTGAACTCACAGACCATGAGATCATGACCTGAGCTCAAGTCAGTTGCTCAACGGACTGAGCTACCCAGGTGCCCCTCCTCATTTACATTTCTTACAATGAGATTATATATTTTTCAAGATGATAGTTAACTTCCTGAATTTCTTTGTGCCTAAAACGTTTGTTCATTCTTTTCCTTTTTTAAACCAGACATGAAATATAATACAGATATTGGCTCTATATATTTGAATTAATTCTTTTTACTTTCAGGTAGCAAGATTTTATTTTTTATTTTATTTTTTTTTAACGTTTATTTATTTTTGAGACAGAGAGAGACACAGTATAAATGGGGGAGGGGCAGAGAGAGAGGGAGACACAGAATCGGAAGCAGGCTCCAGGCTCTGAGCCATCAGCCCAGAGCCCGACGCGGGGCTCGAACTCGCGGACCGCGAGATCGTGACCTGAGCTGAAGTCAGACGCTTAACCGACTGAGCCACCTAGGTGCCCCTCAGGTAGCAAGATTTTACACTTACTTCTTTCACATACATTTTTTACATTTTGTTCCTTCTTCAGATATAGATTGTTTTTTCTTCTGCTGTACAGGTTCCCTCCCCCTGCCTCTTCCTTATACAGCACACATTTTCATGGTCTCTGTTGGTGTTGTTTCTTAGATAGCCAGGGGCTTAGCTGAGGCCATTGTATTTTCATGTTTTTCTATTTTTTTCCTATGTTTCTATCAATGTTTTGCCTCTGCCATTTCCCCAGTTCTAGGGTCTTGATACAATTATGATATTGAGATTAGAGTTAGGCCAACCAAAAAACAAACAAACAAAACCAAAAGAACACACACACACACACACACACACACACACACACACACAAACCACCCAAATTAAAAACAAAACAAACTTGCCAAGTTCATTTCCCCATGCAGTATTGTAAAAATATTTTATAGATCTTACACAAAGTTCTCGGCAGTTTTCTGAAATTCGACTTACACTCATAGATGATTCCCAAGAGAAGTAAAGGGAACTTTATTCTAGGTAAATGGTGGCTTTTTGCAAACAATCTCTCTTTTTGGATATGGCCTTCTGCACTAGGAAGTTGAATTGTGTTGGGGCTGTGCTCAGGGACCCCCTAGAACCCAGAAAGGTTCAGGCCTGTTTGAAGGGTATTTGGGGATCTCTTAGTGACCCTCAATGGGGTTGAAATCAGGCTTGCAGAGGGTCCTTTGGGAAAAATGCAGACCATGTCATCATTTTTTTTTACAATAGTTATGATGTGGTACTTTTTTGTTGTTTTGTCTCTCAAGGACTCAAAAAGATCAGGAAGAGAAGCATTGTGATACTAATCAAGAAACTGCAGAACACAGATTTTAATGGGTTTGGGGAAATTTGTTTTTTTTTTTTTTAATGTTTTATTTTATTTTTGAGGGAGAGACAGAGCACAAGTGGGGCATGGGCAGAGAGAGGGAGACATAGAATCTGAAGCAGGCTTCAGGCTCCCAGCTGTCAGCACAGAGCCCACTGTGGGGCTCAAACTCATGAACCATGAGATCATGACCTGAGCTGAAGTTGGACACTCAACAACTGAGCCACCCAGGTGCCCCAAATTATTCTTAATGTCATTTAGCTTTACTGTTATTTTTCCTTGTCATTTATTATCCTTTTTTCTCTTTTATATCAGAAACACGTCTTACTGTGATGAAATGTCCACTGAGCTCAGGGTTTTTGAGAAGACAGAAGCTTCCCTGCCTTTCATATCATACCCGCAAATTCTTACGTTGTCAACCTCTGGGTCCTTAGTTTGCCCTGAGCTGAGTGAATTCATCCGTAACAAAATGGACATGAAGATTCAGTGGTACAAGGTACATCTTTAAAAATTGCCATTAAAAAAAATTTTTTTTTAAATTGCCATTTAATTAAAATGTGTCTTACCAACTACAGGAAGGATATAAAATACCCATTCTGAAGATAACACATTCACTTTTATATTTCTGATTTTTTTTCAACTAGTTAGTTTAAAAAGGGCAATGATTAATATGTTCTGTTCATCTTTATGTGGCTGGGGCAAGGGTCCTCAGAGTAGGAATTTAAGAAGACAGAATGTAAAATGAATGCAGAGTAAGTGGCAGTTGAAGAGAATAGCTTTTTACTGTCATTTGTCTATAGCAATGGGAAAAAACCCATTGTTTATTTAACAACTGTGTACACATATTAATGAAGCTTTTTTAAAGCACATGATAATTAACTTTTGTGTTAAAGGAGTAAATATAGACAATTTGTTTTCTTGCCTGATTGAATAAATACTATCATCAGATCACTTGTGTAGACCAGGTGTGGGCAAATGATAGCTATAACCAGTGGCCAAATTGAGTGGCCACCTGTTTTTATTTGCTCGGGATAGTTTTTACTTTCTTTGTTTCTTTCTTCTTTTATTTGAAAGAGAGAGAGAGCAGGGAGAGAGGCAGAGGGAGCGAGAGAGGGAATCTTAAGCATGCTCAGCATGGAGCCTGATGTGGAACTCAATCCCACGACCCTGGGATCATGACCTGAGCTGAAATCAAGATTTGGACACTCAACTGACTGAGCCACCGAGGCGCCCCCAGTTTTCACTTTCTTAAATGGTTAAAAAAATAAGACTAGTATTTCATGATATATGAAAATGACATAGAATTCAAATTTCAGTGTCAATAAATAGAGTTTTACTGGGACATGGCCATACTTTCTGTGTCTGTGGTCTCATACTCCAAGGGCAGAGCTGAATAGCTCTTCAAACTTACCAGAGGACAGAGGCCATGTGGAATGTAGGCCTGAAATATTTACTATCTGGTCCTTTACAGGAAAATTTGCTGATCCCTGATATAAACAGACCGTAGACTGATGCTGAAAAGTTGTAATTTGTTTAAAATTTGATATAGGGCCACCTGGGTGGATCAGTCGGTTAAGCATCCAACTCTTGATTTTGGCTCTGTCACGATCTCGCAGGGTGTGGGATTGAGCCCCGTGTCTGGCTCTGCACCAGCAGTGCGGAGCCTGCTTGGGATTCTCTGTCCCTCTCTCTCTGCCCCTTCCCTGCTTGCACTCTGTCTCTCTCTCTCAAAATAAATTAACATTAAAAAAATACAAAAAATACAATTTGATACAAATTAATTCTGTAATCGAGGATAGGTCAACCAGTTGACTGGTATTATAGCTACAAGATATGTATAGGATATCAATGCTAATCGTTACTTAGTCTGAACTGGGTAGAAGTCTATTCTGGATTCCCTGGCATAAACTAACAAAGTAGGGACTGTTAATATCTCCATTTTACAGATTAAGAAATGGAGATACAGAAGTGTAAGGCACTTGTCCAAGGTCACGCAGCTGGTAGATGGTGCAGCCAGAACTCCAGCCAAGGAGGCCAGGCTCCACATACCACTGCCATGCAGGGGACCCCTGGGGGCTTAGAGGCCTTGGAGGAATGGGGGTGCTGAGCCCTGTTTGGCTTTTTCATGTTTGGCTCCTCCTGTTAGGAACAATAAAATCTCTTTTTGGTTAGATAGATTGTAAAATAATACTTTATGAGCCATTAGCTGACAAACCTTTCCAGTTATGTCTCTGCTACCATTCAGAGCAAGAGTCTGAAACAGCTCAAGGTTATGTTTGACTATTGCAAGGTTTCGATCATCATGGTTTTGAAAGATAGGTTCCTGAGAACACTGTGTGCTCATTAGGATGTTTTTTTGAATCACATTCAGTTTTTTTTCTGTTACTGGAGGCCTTGCTCTTGAGGATTCTGTTGTGTAAGACCCACAGAATCTCTCACCCTTATAGGAAGTGTGCTCTCATTTCTCACATTTAGTTTTTCTTTTTTTCACAAATTTTCTCCCATCTTTACTGACTCCTAAAATTGAAACAATCTTTAAAGTAATTACTGCAATATCATTTCTTCTGAATATTACTTTTCAAGTCACAAGTGATTGAGGGGCAGAGGCAGAGAAGGAGAGAGAGAAAGAGATTCCCATGAGGGGCAGAGGATAAGAGAGAGAGAGAGAGAGAAATGGGGCTTGAGACCACCGATGTGGGACTGGAACTCACTAACTGAGATCATGATCTAAGCTGAAGTCAGATACTTAACAACTGAACCACCCAGGCACCCTACAACTATGTTTTCTATGTTAACAAATTCCCTCTGCTAAGAAGTACAGTTAATAGTATGCCTAAAGTACATTTGTAAAGTAAATACCAGGGAAATTGTTGGATTGCATATTCAACATCAATTGTTAATACTGATACTATTCATATAGCTTTTGAGATATAAATTAGTACATAGTATAACTTTGAAAAATATTTTCCCCTAAGGATTCTGTCCTTTTGGATCAAGACAATGAGAAGTTTCTAAGTGTGAGGGGAACCTCTCGCTTACTCATACATAATGTGTCTGTGGAGGATGCGGGTTATTACAGCTGTGCCATGACATTCGCCCACGAAGGCATGCAGTACAACGTGACTAGGAATATTGAACTACGTGTCAACAGTGAGTACTTGCCATTGAGGTACTTTTCCACCCTGTCAATAGCAAGCATTTAAAGAACAAATTAGGGTTCCCCGTGGAATTCCTTGAATGTCTTTGGCAGGAAAGGAAGACAGACCTATCAATTCTCCTAAAGCATCAGTCTAATAAGACATGTGTGAACCTTTGAAAGATAGAAAGCACGGTGTTTTCATGAAGAAAGCTGAATCCCTGGGTAGTTGATAGGGTTCCAAGTGTGAGGCTAAAACACACCAGCAGATGGGGCCAAACAGTGGTTCACTTGGAAGGTCTCTTTGGAAAACCCCTTTTGGAAGGCTTGTGCTCCAGGGCCAGCGATCAGAACATGGCTGCCATAACTTTATGTATAATTCTTGGATACTAGAATTTTATTGGACTTTTCAGTTAGAAGGCTGTACATTGGCAAATCCAGTGGAAAATGCCCCCCCCCTTTTTTTTTGTCTTCCCCAAGGCGCGTGGCCCTTGAAACTAGAATTTCAAATAGTGAGTGCTCTCTTTGGTTTAAATGAGTTTGAAAGTAATGTTGTTAACAGTGTTGATTAGTATTTAAAATTGTTCAACATTTATTGCATACCTCCTACATGCTGGACATCAAGCTTGGTGCAAGGAACATAAAAGTGTTTAAGTCCTGGACTCTGCCCTGAAGAGTATGCTGCTTTTCTTTATGTTATATACTGAACAAGTACACAGTTGGAGTCTTATAAGGCATTTTGGAGGGCTTTGAAAATACATTAAGGTTAAATAATTAGTCATTGAAGGGAGAAGACATTTTTTTTTGTCACAGGGAATCCAGAGATTCAGTTTTACTACAGAGAAAATCGTGTCATGAACTGAAATCTCTAGGCTATTTTACTGTCTTATGAGGATTCATTCATACCAACAACTTGTTCCCCCACAGGGAATCATGGAAACTTCCCAGGATTTTGAAGGGGTTCCTAATTATCCAGTTTATGTGATACTGCATATGAACACTAGGGGGCGACCAACCTTCATATTACCCAGTGTTATGATCTCACTGTTTCTCAGAGGTTCTCAAAGGGTTGTCCTGGGCCAGCCAGAAGTAGCAGCACTTGGATGCTCACTAGACTTGGAAACTCTCATCTCCACCCCAGACCCACTGAATTAGAAACAGGGATGTGGTGGGGGGAGCACAGCAATCTGTGTTTAACATGCGGCCCACGGATGCTGATGTACCTTCAAATTTGAGAAGCACTGAGGTTTCTAGCCCCTGAGGCTCTTTTCTCACCCTCTCTGTTGCCCCAGCATCTGTGCAGCAGGCATGCGATTATGTGTGTTTGTTGGGGGGCTGGGAGGAGACTCCTGGTCATGGTCAAGAAGCCATCTGGTCCTCTGCTGTGAGACTGCCTAATGCTTACTCACGTTAGGATTTCAAGAGACTCTGCCAGGAAAGGCGTAAGGATGGAGTGAGCAGCTATGGAGATGGGCAGCCCTTCACCCACCCCCAGTCACGCTCTTTGCTCTAGTTCAGGTGCCCAGTTTCTTCAAGTGGTTGGGAGACCTTCCTCTTGGGAAGTTGGGTTGCTATTCAGAAGTCCACCTCTGTTTCCCAAAAGAGTTTACGTCTTCAATGAGCAAGACATAGTAGCCAATGCTGGGTTGTGCTCTTTGTCACTCAGTGTGGGATTAACAGTATAAACAGGTGGTTCCCAAATACTTGTGCCTTTTTAAATTTTTTTCGAGTGACTCTTCAGAGGCAGGAATGGAAAGGATGGAGATATTTTAGGGCAAATAGATGTTGGGGTAAAGCCTATCTTGTGGACATTGTGAACATTGCTATTAAGGGTTTATTCAGGAAGCCAGGGAGGGGAATGGTTAATTATTTATCACAGAGCAAAGAACATCTGTTAGTGGAATGTGTATTTAAGTGTGGCCTCTTCCAGTAATATCTCTTCTGGGAAAGGCATTGGCCAGAGATGCTCACTTTTGTGGAGAGCCTGTTTCCTTTGCTAGACAAAGGTCGAATCTTACAATGGCTGGCCATACTGTAGAGGAGAACTTTGTTAATTAGCTAAACAATGGAACTTGACTCTCAGCTGGAAATGAAGGCTTTCCTAATTGAATCTTTTTTTTCCTTCTATCATTCTCAGAAAAAGAAGAGGAGACAATTCCTGTGATTATCTCCCCCCACCAGACCATCTTAGCTTCACTGGGTAAGGCCCGCAAGGACCGTGTAACCCACAGGGGTGCCTGCAGTCCCTAAGCGCAGTGTCCCAGACCCTTGTGACCCCCCTGGGTGGGACCCCAGGACCCCAGCGTGAGAGGCAGAAATAACAGATACGAGGGAACATTTCCTTCTGTGAGATGTTAGAAGTGGCATTGATTGAAATTAGGTCTATTTTGTTACATGAAAACCGTACCTACAAAAATCTGCATGTAAAAATCCGAACATTCTGGTGACAGTTCTTAACTGTATGAGAGGATTAACAGCATGATTCCCTCATGTAGCCAGCACCTGTAGTATATTTTAAATCATTCACTTTACCAAACTTGGCTGACGCTAAGCTTTTTCCATAAGAGTCCATTTAAAAAAATTTTTTTTGTAATGTTTTAATTTATTTTTGAGAGAGAGAGAGAGAGAGAGCACAAGCAGGGGAGGGGCAGAGAGAGAGGGAGACACAGAATCCGAAGCAGGCTCCAGGCTCTGAGCTGTCAGCACAGAGCCTGATGCGGGGCTTGAACCCATGAACTGGGAGATCATGACCTGAGCCAAAGTCAGATGCTTAATCGACTGAGCCACCCAGGCGCCCCTCCTTAAGAGTCCATTTGTAAAGTGAGGCTGATCCTGCCACTACTGGCCCCAAGAGACAGTCTCTTGTTGCCGAAATAGGTAGTCAGCTGGTTGACTGGGGTGAGGAAAGTGACCGACAACGTCTCCATTTTTCACTCTGGCTCACACACACTTCACTGTTGAATGTCACTATGTCTAACGGGATGCCACTCGATGCCAGCATCGACCGTGTAGGAGGGCCTCATTTCTTCTGTTTTCCAGAAGGAAAAGCTGCTCAGGGGTCCCGGTGGCTCAATGAAGGTCAAAAGCCACACTCAAGTCAGGCTGGGGTTCAGACAGGCCTGTGCCTGTGTTTGAGAAGATGGGGAAGGGTCCACCACTCAGATTTGCTGATGGACGCAAGGACTGGCCTGACCGCTGTTTCCTGGCTGGGTTCTGACGTATGATGTGTGCTGTCTTGCTGTATGCAGGGTCAAGATTGACAATCCCATGTAAGGTGTTTCTGGGAGCTGGCACACATTCGACCACCATGCTGTGGTGGATGGCCAACACCACCAGCATAGAGAGCGCATACCAGGGAGGCCGTGTGACCGAGGGGCAGCGCCAGTAAGTGTGTGAAGATCTTTGTCAGCTGAGAAGCATCTTCTAGGCATAGCTGTTAGGGGACTGATGTGGGCTTTGCTCTTCCTTTTAGAGAAGGTCATACTGAACCTATTCATAATGACACACATTCTACATTAAAAATAATCTTTTTGATTCTAAACTGTTGGAGTTTTAGGATTTTATACACTGAGTTTTGCTAAGCATTACCAATTGCTCTTGAGAATCAAACTTTCTCTAGGAGCTGAGTTGCTGCTGACTTGGCATCGATGTTGCATTTTCTAGCTGTTTCGTTTGTGTGTCGATTTTTGCAGTTTTCAAAAACATTTGTGTGTCGATTTTTGCAGTTTTCAAAAAAAAAAAAAAAAGAACCCAAAAAACTTTGGAGTTAATACATTTCCACTATGCACTCAGCAACCTGAGTGTCAAACATTTTCACACACTCCTCGAAAGACTAAAGGTTAGTCCCAGTATCCAAGGGCCTCCTTTGTTTCTCAAGGAACTGGGGACTGCTGCAGGCACTAAGGAAGGTTAATACTAAAAGAAAGGAAGAATTCTGTTCTCATAAGAATTACTCTTTGGAATATGTTTTCTTACTCTGAAAGTAGAACAGTCAGACCCTGTAAGTGTGAACCATTTGTTTGAGGAAGGAGACCATTCAATGTTCCCAATTATCAAAGATTTTTAAAACTGTAGTTTTGGTACTCTGAATTAGCCTGAACTTTCAATTGCCAATTTTTTATCTTTTTTTTTTTGAAAGACCTATCAAAAAATACCTTTCTGGATGCAGTTTAGCAGGTTAGAATTATATGTGGTTAGCACAGCTGCTTGCTTGCACAGTCGTTGTTGAGAAAAGCTTGGCATTGCTAACATGCCTCATGTGGGCTTACTCACACTGTCCACTCACTTAAAGGAGCCTATTTTCTCCCAAGGAGAAAAAAAAGATAGTCCTAGTAGATCCACATACATGATGTTTTTATTCATGCTCATCAGTAGCAGTGAAGCATCTTCAGATTACCATCACTACAAATGGCTGACTTGAGCCATTCCCTGGCCCATCTGCGGCTCTCTGCTCCCAACTTGAGTTTCCAGAATGACAGCTGGCAAAGGAGCAGAGAGGAGGAAACACCAAGGAGGCCAGGATTCCTGGAAACTCCCTCCTCCTCAATATGCAAATGATTTATTGGTGTTACAGTTAAGTTTCCCCAAACCAGACATTTCTATTCCCACGCCGCCTCTTTGTTCATCAATGGCCTTAAAAAATGGATTCCTCCATTATCCAAACAAAACTGGCTCCTGTTAAGTTCTCCTTGTGACAAGCGTCCTGTTACAGGCACCAACATCTTTAGTGTCACTCCCAACAGCTTCAGTGTCACTCTCACCTTCAGGCACAGGCTTAGAAATTCTCCCAGATAGGGAACAAATATAATGAATGACAAGTGCCCTTGACTTTATGAGTTGAGACCAATTTAAGCACAATAGATCCTTCTCATTGAGAGTGTTTGGATGTCTCCATTGTAAAGACGAACTTGCATTTGATACATCATGTGTGAGTGATTATTTCCTCCCTCAGGGAATACTCGGAAAATAACGAGAACTACATTGAAGTGCCACTGATTTTTGATCCAGTCATAAGAGAGGATTTGAACACGGATTTTAAATGCGTTGTGCGCAACACACTGAGTACTCAGATGCTACGTACCACGGTCAAAGAAGGTATGTATCAAGCAGCGTGTTTGATGTTCTGTGGCTGCTAGACAATGTTACTGGCTTTCCACGTGATTGCTTAGGCCACTGAAAGCAGATCTCTCATTTTTTTCTGATTTATTTTTTGTCGGGTGGAGGCTGGCTTTGGGAGAGTATATTCAAATCAAAATTTAAGCAGCAAGCTGATTTTTGGAAAAAAGACAAAGTGGTTCTGTGATAAACTTAAAAAAAATCCTTGTGTCCTCATCTGGTTCTGCCCTGGATCAGCAAGACCACCTGTTTCTTCCTGACGCCTCTAGCGGGAGGGTGGGACATTCTTTATCCCGAAATTGAGAAACTCCCTTCCCGAGAGGTGGGGGCTGGGAGATATGTGGGGCTCAGGGCAGCTTCAGGGTTAAAGTCATCAGTCGAGAGGAGAGAAAGCACAAGACTATAGTCCAGTCAACCCAGTGCCCATTTAATGGACCTTTAAGAAAGAAGAAAAGCCCATGCTATCATTTTGACCAAGTTGATTTCTTCCCAGTGTTTAAGCACTGAGTGGGAAAGGGAAATAGAGGTAGTGCAGAGACCCTTGGCAGCCAGAGAGGTCAACAGGCGACAAGCCGGAAGTGATCTCCAGCTACAGTCTCATTATGCCTTCTGGGCAGTCTGTAGCAATCAAAGAAATCGCTCCACATTCTCTGTGTTTGCTGGGAAGGCAGCTGCAGACAGACTTGTAATTGAAAAGCTGAGGATTTGGTTAAGCCTCAGGGCAGAGCATGACAACACCCCTGATGTCTTAAGCCACTAGTTGGAAACACAAAACCCTTGGCTCACCCCACATCTACCCAGCTTCTCCCAGGGTAAGTAAGGCAAAAGACTGCAGTTGGGCGGTACTCCTTTCATACTCAAGTTTGAGAACCATTGTCCTAGATCATTTCCATGAAAGGGTCAGTAGTTGTAGAGACTTGGAAAGGAAGGGTCCCACGGAAAGCAGAGTTCACTTCTGGGGTTCAGACTGTGACCCAAAGGAACCTATGGTTTGTCTGGTCCTGAAGCTGGGACCCTTTAAACATTTCTGTAATGTGAGCCCGCTCCCTGCATGTCCTGTGCTGGATTGGCCATGCCTCATGGCAGCAGGCATGGCCGAAAGCCTGTCACCAGCATTGAGAGGTGCCTCTGGGCGGCTGCTTCGAAAATTAAAGCTTTTCTCATTTCTAAACCTTGTGGGATTTTAAGAGAGAAGAATCATCTGGAGAAATGGTGTGACATTGTGTTGATTCCTGGAGGCCTAGACAGACTGTGATAAATAGCTTTAAAATGTAGAGCTCTGGCTTCATCGTCGAGTCCAGTAACACTTATGTACTTGTGTGTACTTGTTATGTTTTTATTTGTACTCTCTCTATTTTCATAACACAGGGATACCAAGGAGTAGAATGTAAAATAGCTGGGTCCAAGCAATAATCTTGACACCTAAGGCTCCTTTATTTGAAGTTTGTTTTCTCTTCCTTTGCTACTTTACTTAATCTTCCTGACAGCCACACTCATTGGAAAGGGGCAGACTGTACCCTGGCCAAGTCATAGTTAGCTGGTTGAGGCCTAAACAGATACCATCTTTTTAAATTTTTTTAATTTTTTTAAAATGTTCATTAATTTTTGAGAGACAGAGACAGCGGGTGAGCGGGGAAGGGGCAGAGAGAGAAAGAGAGAGAGGGAGACACCGAACCTGAAGCAGGCTCCAGGCTCTGAGCTGTCAGCACAGACCCCCATGGGGGCTCGAACTCACAAACTGTGAGCTCATGACCTGAGCCGAAGTCGGACGCTTCACTGACTAAGCCTCCCAGATGCCGCTAAACAGATACCATCTTATTGCACACTATTCAACGGGCAGAACAAGGATCCATGACCCGTCACCCCACCTTCCTTGTTTCCCTAATGCCACAGATATCATTCTCAAATATCCTTGACCTGATGTGAGGGACATGCTTTCTAAAAAATCAGTGCACTATTATTAGAAAAGACAAACCCCACTTCCTGTCTTCTCCGTAAACCTGCCCTGCACTGTCCTGCCCTGGCAGTGAGAGAATGTTCCATCCACCCACCATGTGACTCTGTTCTTCCTACAGCTGCCACATTCTCCTGGGGGATTGCGCTGGCCCCCCTCTCCCTGGTCTTCTTGGTTTTGGTGGGAATATGGATGCACAGACGGTATAAACACAGAACTGGAAAAACATATGGTTTGACCACGTTAAAGACTGGCCCTTAAGATTTTCAATCTTACACGAGTGAAATAAAGGCAATAAAACAATTCAAATCCAAGCGATATCCTTTTTCATGGAAGTGGCTTGACCTTTTCGAAGATAGTGCTCTTCCTCAGTTTAACAGAGCTGCTGTGTTTATGGTGAAGCCCTAAAGAAAGAATGTGATGTTTATCCTGAAGCTGAATGACAGGAGGAAGTGTGCATGTGGGCGGGTGAGTAGCTCCCTGCCACTTGTGACCTGTTTAAAAGAGTGAGGTGCCCCCAGGCCTGAGTAGAGTCAAAAACATCTAGGTGAGTTTTATAATTCATTCATTCGTCATTTAACAAAAGCGTATTAGAAGTCTACCTTGGCTATGCTCCGTGGAAGGTGTTATAGATACAAAAATAGTTAAGATGTAGGCTGCGTTTTGGGGAAGATGGAATTTCATTTTGAGACCAGAAAGAGTGCTTTAGAAATGCTACAGAAGGAGAATCAGCAAGAATTGCTGAATTTTTTCAAAAGGACGAGCCAAAAAGTAGCAATTAAAATAGAGTAGACTGTGAGAAAAATACATGTTATTAGGACATACTAGTGAACTGAGAAACAGACTCAACTTTACAACAAAGCTTCTGAAAGTAAGGAGGAAAGAAAGGTATTGGGATGATTGCATACACATTGGAAAAAAAAAACAAAACTAGGATCCCTTTTATATCATGTTACTCCTCCCAAAGAATTCCAGTTGAATTGATAAATTAAATTTAAATAAATCAAATTGTAGAAAAATTAGCATGACTCACTCCTTCATTTATTTGAGTCTTTGTTCAAGAGTCCTTCCCAGAGGCACTTCTGAATAGCACCTCTTTTCCATCCCTCTCTGTCCCCTCCCTCTGCTTTGTGTGTGATAGATCTTATCATCACCAAACCTTCCATTACATATTTACTTATTTATTTGTGGGTTTTCCCAGCGGATTTGCATGAGAGCAGAGATGTTATTTTGGTCACGGCTGTATCCCCAGTACTTGGAATCGTGCCTGCCATACACTGAACATTTAATAAACGTTTGTAGAATAAATGAAACTAGGATGTATTTTCTTTTGTTCACTACCAATAAAATACAAGAATGGGCAGGGTACAGATGGATGGACTTAATTATGTTACAATTCGTGCCTAATAGAAGAATGAAAGCAAAAGGTAAAAGATATTATGTCAGGCGAATTCAAGGAATTAATGATAGCCTATACAGTTAATTCAGGGTTTAAAGAAAGGTGTCATGACCCTCATAGATGGGGGAACATGAATAGGGAATTTATGGAAGGAACACATAATGAAACCATAGAAAAGTGATCTGTTTCAGTAATAATCAGAGATGTAAATTAAAGTGACATTGAGATAACAAAGCACTCACATACACTATCAAGTTTTAAAGGCAAACTCAAGGTCATTTCCAAATGGTAACTCCCATTTCCTGTAATTCCATTTATAACTTGGTACTGGGAAGTAGAAAGGGAATTTGTATCAAGCCAGTGGGGTGCTGGGAACAGCTTGTATCTTCTTGCAAGAGCTGAGTGTAGCATCTCTTCTGAGCTCTGTTCAGTGATGTCATGTTGGTAGCTTAAAATCCACCACCCTGGGAGTACTGACGCCATAGAAACTGGCAAATGCCACAGGCCAGGGCCCCCCTCCCGGGTACGCCACTCCAAGGCCCTGCAGATGCCTGGGGATGCTGCTCTTGGGAATTAATCTTAGACAGTAATTGAACAAAAGAAGATAAACAGATGTATGAAATATTTCAGTGAAACTCATCACCGTGATGATGAACAATTACGCATCAATTATAAATTATAATTAACAAGAATGCGAGACTGAAATACTTGTAATGTTATGGAAAAATTGTATATTTTATGCGATTTATGTGATTATGACAATATTAAAATTCATATCCAGCTAGAAAAGGGTGGAAAAAAACCAAAGGATTTTGAAGACCGATTTCTTAGGTTTAATTCAAGGTCTACCATTTGGTGCCTCTGATCCTAGGCAAGGCCATTAGTCTCTCCCTGTCAGTGTTCTGATCTGGAAAATGGGGTTGATAACAGGGACTAGAGTGCAATGTTTAATAATCAAAACCATAGGAGGAATAGACAGGAATAAAAATAGTTGTATTGTTTAGGCCAAAGGTTGGCAAACTTCAGCCTTCTGGACAAATGTAGCCTGGCCTTGTGTTTCTGTAAATTAAGTTAAAAAAATTTTTTTAATGTTTATTTATTCTTGAGAGAGACAGAGCACAAGTGGGGGAGGGGCAGAGTGAGAGAAAGACACAGAATCCAAAGCAGGCTCCAGTCTCTGAGCTGTCAGCACAGAGCCCGATGTGGGGCTAGAACTCACGAACCGTGAGATCATGACCTGAGCCGAAGTCAGTTGCTGAACTGACTGAGCCACCCAGGCGCCCTTGCAAATTAAGTTTTATTAGAACACAGCCATGCCATTTTGTTTATGTATTGTCTGTCTATGGCTGCATTGACTCTTTGAAGGCAGAGTAGTTGAGACAACAAAGTCTGAACTGTTTGCTATCTCGTCCCATACAGAAAAAGTTCTCTGACCACTGGTTTAGACTGAGGAAATGTGTAGGCAGTTTTCGGGCCTTACTTATATATTTCCCTGCTGTTATCTTCTCTGTCCTTTCTTTCCTGTTTTGTAAGTGTGTAAGGAAGGAGAAGGAAAGGAGAAGGCAGAGCCTTTTAGCATCGAATCAGAACTTTCACCGTGAAGGAGGTGGAGGCAAGGTTTGGAATGAAGAAGGGGTGAGGACTTTGCAAGGGGCTTCTCTGGGTGCTTCTGCCTTTCTGGCTCCTCAGGCTTGGGCACCACCCCACTCTCATCCCTCTTCCTTCCTGGGACTCCTCCTCCAGTGCTCTCCAGAGTTCCCTACCTTCAGATTCTGGCAGCTTCAACAATGACCTGGAAAAGAAGATGACTGCAGCCAGAAAACAACATTTTAGACTCCACCTTGACTGCATGGCTTATGCACTTCCTCCTGTCCACAGTTCACAAGTTGGGGGTCATGCTCTTAGAAAGAATAGGAGGGAATTTTGGACACCACATTTATGATAATATCAAGGTATAAGCATGATATTGGAATTGTTATATTTTGAAAGGAGAGTCATTATATTTCTTTTTTTTTCTATTTTAAGGTTTGTTTATTTTGAGGGGGGCGATGGGCAGAGAGAGTTGGAGAGAGAGAATCCCAAGCAGGCTCTGTGCTATCAGTGCGGACCCAGATGCAGGGCTCGACCCCACAACCATGAAATCATGACCTGAGCTGAAATCAATAGTTGGAGCTTAACTGACTGAGCCACTCAGGCACCTCAAAAGAAGAGTCATTATATTTCTAAGAGACATACAGGAATATTTATGGATGATAGTTGAGATTTGCTTCAAAAAGGTCCAGTACCATGGCAGGGGCAGGGAATATAGATGAAATATGATTGGCTGTGTGTTAATGATTGTTAACACTAGTGACGGGTGCCTAGGGGTTCCTTATGCAACTCTCTCTCTTTTTGCAAATGTCTAGAAATTTCCAAAATACAGAGGAAAAAACCAACAATATAGAAGTAACTAAATACCCACCAGACAATAAAATGAATCCATAAGCTGGGCACAGTGGAATCTTCTACAGTGGTGACAGTGAATAAAATACAGCTACATGCAACAATATGGATGAACCTTAGAAATCTTAAGCAAATAACAAGTCCAGAAACATCTATCTATTGACAGCATGATGCCTTTTTTAAAATGCTTATTTATTTTTGAGAGAGGGACAGAGTGCAAGAGGGAAAAGGGCAGAGAGAGAGGGAGACACAGAATCTGAAGCAAGCTCCAGGCTCTGAGCTGTCAGCACAGAGCCAGACGCAGGACTTGAACTCATAGACTAGACCGCGAGATCATGACCTGAGTCAAAGTTGTATGCTCAACCGACTGAGCCACCCTGGTGCCCCTGGCATGATGCCTTTTTATATAAAATGAAAAACAACTAAAACTAAGAGCTCTCTCTGTATGCATATATGCATACATACATGTATTTTTATATATTTATATTTAAGAGCACATATGTGATAAAACTACATTTTAACTATATTTGGATGTGTATGTATCTGTATTTAAAGAGTACATATGTGATTTTAAGGGTTTACAATTGTCTAAAATTTAAGAAAGCAAGAGCATGAGAAACCCAAGGCTCACGATAGTGAACACATCAGGTGACCAGGGCTGGGACGGGTTAGGAAGATGTAAGTTTCATCATGTCTGATCAAACAGATTAAGACACAGGCCACTCATGGACCAATGAAGAGTGTGCGTCTTCAACTTAGGATTCTGATTAATTCTGCACATCTGAGTCCAAATTAAACAAACAAAAGAAACAAGGTGTTTTCTTAATGTTTTCATCTGTTTTATGTTCTTTCTGTTGGTTGAACCTTCCAATTTAGATTTTTTTTCACCTCCCCCCACAAAATTGGGGGGATGGGGGAGTAAATAGCATTTGACAACCTCACATTTTGGCATGCTACCTGTAGGAAAACAAGCCCTATGTAATGAAATACCACTTTCCCAAGAACTAACTGCGGGTGACAGTGGATGCCAATAACAGGTACGAACGAACATTTATGCACTCAAATTAAATTTGATGTCTCAAGTATTTCATGTGCTGTGGTAAAATACAGGGGCTTTTCAGAGGGGGTGCGGTTGTATGTCTACGGTAAGATCTTCTAGGGACAGGATCGCTTCTGCTCATTGACACATCCCCACATCCCCAGCACCTGACATGGTGCCTCGCCACCTAGTAGGTACTTAAGAAGCGTCTGCTGGGTGAATAGAGAGATTGTGAGCTGCTTGGGTTTTCCCAGGACTCACCAGCCTGTGTGGACAAATGGAATCCCACCAGTAGGACTCTTCCAAGTTTCCCGGCTCTTGCCCCTATTCCCAAATCTGCACTGGTTATTTGCACGACTCCTGCCAATAGCTTACTTGGCCACATAAATGGGCCTCGTGTTTAGTGGTTGTTTTCCTGCTGTTGTCCCCGTCTACAGACATCTGCTAAACATGCCATCTCTTCAAGGCTCCTCAGTACTGTATCTGGCCTCCAATGGAGCACTGTCCCCCAACAGAAGGCAGTGTTCCAGGGTGTCCGGAGGACAAGCCGTCCAGCCGCCACCCTGGGCTGCAGTTTCTGTCAGCTGCGGTGCCAGGAGCCAGAAGCTCTCCTTTCATGGCTCATGTGGTCAGCCAGACAAC